TGCATTTGGTACATGTATTGAAATGAAACCTCTTGTCTTGTGTTTGCTTAACTATTAGGAATACACTGTTCTGTATTTGGCCTTGTCAATGCCTTTTGTTCTTGTAACTGCTCTACAGGTAAAAAGAGGAGCCTCTTGATAGGTTAAAATGCCTGAGTAACCTTGAATAAGATAAGTGGTGCCTGACACTAGAGGGATTCATCTACTCTGGCCCAAACAAGGCCCTGATAATGCTGGATCTCACGCTGGACTGTGCTTTCACAACACATTTTACCCAAGAGTCATGTGCAATAGCGTCACTTGTGGGAACCTTCGCCTGTTCCTGGATGCTTAATGGGGAGGGATAGGAACCTGAACAGTTCCAAGTTTGCACGTATCTGAGCCAAGCAGGGACCAGGCTTGGATTGCAAATTTTCATGAAATAAAACTGTGGAAGATTGTACAGTTGGTGTGTTTTGTTTTCTTTAAAGGAAGTCAAAAACAGATGATAATTGTAAGTTACCATTAGGGCGCCTGGATCCCGGCAACCATCCCAAAATACCAAGTGCTGATGCTGGGCTTACATTCTAGATCCCAGAAGAAAGGATTAGAAAGCAAAAGGATTTGAATGTCTTACAAAATGGATTTTGTAGAGGGTGGACTAGAAGTCAAAATATGTATCTGGGGAATCTGAATCAATTTGATTGACATGGATTGAGTTTTCCTTACACAAGCTGTCCGGGAATAAACAAGCCATTATTTAAAAAGGAGGATATTTGTAGCTCAGGGTTGAAATGAGGCGTCATAACCTGATGGTCTGGTTCATTCATCATGCAAGTGCCTTTTCAACATTCAGCGGTTAGTTCAAATTGGTGTGCAAAATTTCTATGGCACTTGGGGGCTGGAGCTGCTACCTTAAGACCCTAAGTGGTCTTTTCTTTGTTATTCCTTGAGCTTAAAAGGATAGTTAACTGACACTGGAGTAACATAACCAGTTGCTGTGGACTGCAGCACCCTCTGTGAACAGGTGGCTTGACGCTTCTGCCCTTCTGGATGGTAACCATTTCTGCTTGTAGGTGCAGGTTTATTCCCAAAAGATAGACTGGGCTTAGAAAAGCTGCACACATGTAAGGATTATTGTGAAGGAGATCCATCTGATAGGTGCTGCTCTCCTACAGCCTGTGGAGGGGAGGGGGAATAATTTATAGCTTAGGTGGAAAATGCTACTAAAAACAAACTCATGGCTGGTCCTGAAGGGTGGAAGGTCTGTTGAACCAAGCTTCACACACGCTGTCAAGTTGCTGCGTGGCTGATAAGGTAGACAAATAATGGACAAGACAACGCTTTTTCACACAGCAAGGACATTTGATCAATTTATGAAGCATCAAATATACATTTTCATATATACAAAGTGGAACTGATTGGGTGGGGGGGTGAGAAGGAAGGGAAACAAAAATACAGTCAATCTGAGAGAAGGGGCAGAGGGAAAGCCCCATGCTATAGAAAATACATGGGCCTTGGAGACACCACCCCCCTCGTAAAGGCTGGTATTTATAATATATATTATATACATGGAAATCTGTACAGCAACAAACCCAACACAGGAAGTGCAGTGCAGGGCAGGGACAAAGTGCATGCTCGGGGGTGGGGCACAGGGTGGGAAGACCTGACACGGGTTATGATGTGGGGGAGAGGAGGAACCCAGGACTTTGCAAGGTGGCACACGGAGGCCTGAGCTGCCACCTGATAAGATTCCTGGCTTCCCTCTCAAGGCTGTGGAGCATAATTGGTCGGCAGAGGGCAATGAAGCCTAGTGCTTCAAATCTGTGGGAATCAAGAAACCCTAAGCCTCCTACCATTTGCTCCTCTCCTAGTCTTCCCCCTTCCTCAAAAGAGTGAGAGAAATCTCACCTCTCACTCAGCTGGCTCCCCTTAGAGCAGTCATTTCCGGAAGTTTAATGGGGTAGTTGAGCAGAGCCTATACAGGCCAGAGCAAGCCATTAAGCCCAGCTTCTCCCCCCTGACGTTCTCTGTTATCACTGACTGAGCAATAATCTTCCTACCTCTGACTGGGGAAGATGGCAGTTGTAATTCAGAGAATCAAGAGGGCAGCGGGTGCAGCCAGCTGGATGAAATATTTGTAGCTTGGGCAACCTCTGAGGCTAGCCTAAATTTCTGCAGCCAGTTCAGAGGTGGCTAGTCTGCATTTTAGTATGGGTCACTGCTCTACTGTCCTCTTCTAAGCTAGGGGGAAAAATAGTGTGCTTCTATTATTAGAAATCTGGGGAGCACCTCTTTGCATTTTTATTAAGCAATAAAATAATTTCTTCCATCCAAAATCCATAGCATCTCCTTAAAAATATAAAAACAGGCACTGTTAATTCAGGCATCATTTCCTTACTTTCTGAAATGATGACTTGATATCGTTAACCCAGCCTTTTCTCTCTTTGTCCAAAGCTAAAACAAGAAGAGCCTAGGAGAAGCCCACCTCTAACATTACTAGGCAAGGTAGGTGAGTGGCAGAACAACGTAGCACCTCGAGGGAAGGAAGAAGGTGAGGTCTGGATGTGCCCCATAAGCTTGATTTGGGACAGCAGAAACTGGATGCCATCTTTTTCTGGAAACACAGCGCACAGGGATTAAAGTGCATCAAACTTCCCAAAGGAACTAATTGGGAGAGAATCCTACTCTACCTCCTCATTACCAGGCATTAATGCACTGACTGCTGGATGAAAAACCAATTTAGGAGAGAAGAGATCACAACAGTCTACTCTCCACTCTCCAATTCAATCGGGGGTGGGTTCAGAAAGCCCAAGAATATAGAAGTCTGTATCTTTAAAAACAGATTCAGTGCAAACCCGAGCAGGGGGTGGGGAGAAGAAGGGAATAAAAATAGCCCTTTATGAATAAAAACCGAGAGGGCTGGACACATTCCCTTCCCATGTCCCAGACTTCTCCATACTTTGGAACTCGTCTCTTCCCCACAGATCCTTCACATCTCCCATCCGAGTCTCTTTCCTTTCTCTACTTGAAACAGCAGAAACTCACAAACTGTGCAAATTACCAAGATAGCCTCTCTTTATCGCCTCCCCAAAAGAGTAGGGGGCCCCAAGGACTCATCATCTCCACACGCTGCAGGTGACTGACAGATGTTTCTTTCTCTCTACGGAGCAAGTCAACAGATAAGACAGCTTTGAAGAGGAAGAGCCTATTTTCTAAAATACAAAGTATTTGTCTAGTAATTGGTGACACTAGAAGGGCAAGAGAGGGAAGACCGATTGTAGGTATCTAGGACACCAAAACACAGAAGCATCTTTGAGGAGCAACCTGCACAAGGGGCATGGTGATACCCACAGTGCTGAAGGAATGTGTAGGTAGGTGTAGATATTGCCTTTTCAGATATAATAAAGCACCTGCCTGAGGTTTTTTTTCCCTGTGGTAATGACCCCCCCCCCTTGATAGAGACAGGAAGGCCTACTCCCATCAGCACTAATATCAAAGTCAGAAGTTACTCAGCAAAAACAGTTGCTTAACACTGCAGCAGTTCCATGTCAGTCAGGGGTTTGAAAGTGGGTATTAAATAAAACTGACTCCAAGTGCTGTCAAGTCACGGCAATAAAAACATTATAGGTGAGAATGGGCAATATGATTTTTTTCCTTGCTTGCTTATTCCAAAAGGAACTGCTTTTCCCCAAATAAGGACAGATCATTGGGAAAAATGGAGGCTTATGAGGAGTTACAAGGTGAAAATGGCAGGCTTGAGAAGGGCTAAACTCCTGGTTCCTGCTGTACGTCTTCTGCACGCACATTTTCTGTGCCACTTTGCAGAATTTGGCAGTGAACAAAGTAGTGTATGTAGCCCCAAAGCTTCACCTATTGTCTTTAGAACTCTGTTCCGTTTTCTGCATGCACTAGGGCTGTTTGCAATGAGGAAAAGTGAGTTCATGGTCCACAGGACCTATTAAAATCTGGGTTAATCAGACTGAAAACATGTTTTGGGGTAAAAAATGAGAGATTCGTCTTGTCACTCTTCTGAGTAAAAATCACCATTAGAAAGCAGGATTCATAAATGCCATTTGCAGTTTAAACATGACAGATAGAAGGCAGCCATAGGGACTATCTGCTACCTATTAAAATTTTTAAAAAGACAAAGCTTTCCCTCTTATCAGCAAATTCCGGGGGCAATGAAAGAAAGAAGAAAAAAGACTTCTGAAAAGTCTTGTTTGGATTAGTGCTTTCTGGAGAGAGGATCTGAGCAGCTTAAAATACAGAGTCCTTTGTACAGCTTCCTCTGCACATTAGAAACTACCACACTGGGCAAGATTGCCTGGGAGAGTAGCTGGTATCCCACATACAGTAGGTACTATGATTACCTCTGCCCACTTCTGACAATGGGAGCATGTAGCAAAACCATATGACTGATTGCTTCACCCCTTCCTTCCTTTCTTCCTTTCCTTCCTTCCTTCCTTCCTTCCCATCACCCCATCATGAAGTGATGCTATCAGAAAAGAATTTGCTGCTCCCAAACCCACAAATGTTACTAAAAGTTGGGATGAAAAATTTTACCTGTTTGGCCATACTCCTAAGACAACACAAAGAGAAACTTGCTTTCCACGACACTGCAGCTTATGCTTTTGCCATCCACGGTCACCACAAATCTACCCTGCTGTCCACAGATGCTCAGAAAAAGATGGTAGGAGTGGGGACAGATGACCCGCAAGGAAAAGAGGCAGAGCTCCCAAAAGCAAAGCCCATGTGAAGCTGTACCCCCCTCAGGCCACGCACGGCGTTGCAGGTCCAGGCTTTCTTCCTTTCCAAGGGATGCCCTCTCTCAGTTCTGATCCTAGGAAAAAGAGGGATGGGATGTGGAGTGGGGAGGAGGAAAGGGAATGGCCATAAAATCTAGACACCCTCCTGACCTCCATCCTTCCCCATCACTTCAGCCGGAACAGGGGAGGCCCCAAGCTCTGTTATTTATATATTTATAGATCTGCTATCAGTTCCATTGTGGTGGCAGCTGCTCACACAACGGTGCTGATTCTGTTGACCGGCTTAGGCTTGGGATTTGGGGGCCCTTGAGGAGGCATGGCTGGAGGACCCCCCTGGTGCATGGGCATGTGCTGGGCCAGAGGGGACGTAGGAGCGGCCGGAGAGTGGGGGCTGAGAGGCGTATGGGGCGATGGAGGGGGAAGAGGTGGATAAGAAGGGTGCGGGGGAATGGGAGAATGAGGTGGGGGCATTGGGGGTTGGCCGTGGTGTGGCTGATGGCCATGATGCCCAGGATATGGTCCCATGCCAGAGGGCAGAGGAGGTCGTTGTAGGAGCTGTGCAGGATGATGGCTGAAAATAAAGTGCTTTGGGGCCTGCTGCCTGTGCAGGGTGTGCTGCCCAGTGACCCCTGACTGATGCAATTGCTGGGGGTAGGTGTGGGCCAGGGCATGCTGAGGGGCAGGGCTGTAGAGGGGCAGCGGCGAGATGGGTTGGCGCCCATGAGGGAAGGGAGGGTGCTGGGAAGCAGCAGCAGCCATCTGGTGGCGCTTCTGCTGCCCAGGCCGACCGAGAGTGTAGTGGTGGTGGGGTTGCGGTGTAGGGAAAGCGGGCACTGCCTGCTTCTGAGGGGGAGCCGAGAGAGGAGGCTGCTGGGAATGGTGGTAGCGCTGGACCTGAGGTGGCAGAGGGTTGGAGGGCAGGGCCAAAGGTGGGGGTGGGGGAGCTGGCTGCTGGGGGGGCGGGGGCTGCTGGGGATAGGGAGGTGGGGGCTGGGCAGAGGGGCTATGGCAGTACTGGGCATGAAGCGCCTGCAGCTTAGACTGGCCGACATCAGGGAGAGAGGGGTGGCTGTGATGTGGGTGGTGCTGGGGCAGATGATGGTGGGACGAAGCCGCTGAAGAGGAGGATGCCGAGGCCTGGCCAGGGGGAATCTGGAAAGGGCCCTTCCCACGCTTGCTGCCAAACAGGGAGCCCAGGAAGGAGGACGAGTTCGAGGGGGGCCGAGGCTGGGGCTTGTATTCCTCTGGAGGAGGTGGTGGCGGCACCCTCTGATGGGGATGTGGGCTGCTAATGATAGACCCCTGGAGGACACAAGGGATATGGATGGAAAGGCAGAAGAGGAAGAGAGGAAGAGAAGGGAGAGAAAGACGGGGCATTAAACAACCGGTGTCTATAAGCCCCCCTAGGCCGACAGTCTGGACTTCCCTAGATTTGCTCAGGCAGGCTTGGCTCAGATTAAACTAAAAAGTTCTGGGAAAGGAAGCCAAGGCTCCCACAGCAAGGGAAGGATTCACATGCGCTTTGGCCTCCCTCTGGAGGTGGACAGAAAAGAAGAGACAGAAGCTGCAAGGCAGAAAGCAGGAGAAGGACGGAGGGACCCCACCTGCATCCCTCTCCTCCCTCCTCCACCCATCCTGGGCTGATCTTCCTCTAGCCCACTTACTTCAATTGTGCTGTCCAAGGATCCCACGCTGTTACGGCGGCCCCGCTTGCCTGCAACAGAGCAGGGATTAGCGAGACCTGAACTTCACCCCTTCCCCTTTGCGCCAACCCTCCAATTCTGAAGGGGGAAGAAAGTGCCCCCATCCCATCCCACCAAAGCAGAGCAGCAGAGCAAAGGCAGAGTTAGCAGAGGAAAAGAGGGAAACAGAGTGTCTTGCCCTTGTTCACCTCATTTTAGTACATAGCAAGCCTCTTCTACTGCAGTAAAATTACTTGGGTCGGGGTACACAGATATCGTGCACCCATCACCCCCCGACCTCTGCATTCCTCCTGAGACTCAGAGTGCAACTACATTTCTTCCTCACTCAAAGTTCGGAAGAGAGAAAGAGATCCATCCATCCATTCATCCATTCACCAGCTATTTGATAAATTCTTAACATTCCAAAATCCTGAGGATTTCTTATTCCTGAATCAGTTTTATGGAAGAGACGTAAATGATGGAAATCTTCTTCCAGACATAAACAGTAGAGGGAGCCATAATAATTATATTTTGGAGATAAACTGATTTCTGGGATGGAATTAAGTTAAAGTTTGAATGGAGCTGGGTTTTTAAGAGAGCTGTGACAGAGCCAGTTTTAACAAATTCAAGTGCTAAAACCTTTTCCTTGGCTGCATTGCTCCAGCTTAAAGGTGGTGATGGGTGCTCCATCTTGAAAAGCTCCCCTCATGCAAAATCTTCCTGCAAGTAGAAACCTAGGAAGCCAAGGGAGAAAGGTTCAGTCTGAATTTCTCCCTATTTTTTTTTTTTACTTGCAGGGATTTCTCTTGTTCGTAAGAGACCATCTGAAGTAAACAACCATTTAAAGCAGAGGTGGCCAATCAACAGCCAGGACACCCCACAAGCCCACAAATGCTACCAGAACCTGGTGGCACAGTAATACACCATTTTGAGGTAGCGTATGTATATTCATAGTTAGCTACAAAAGAGGCTTTTCATAGTTTTAAACAAGAACACTTTAAATCCCCCTCTGCCAATCCCGGAAAACCAAAAAAAAAAAAAAGGAAATCTCAAGTCTGTTGATTTAGCCAAGAGCCACAGCTCTGCTCACTGTGGCCCTTGGCTTCCCCAAAATAGTTGTCCACACTCAATCCAAAACCTGAAGTAACACAGTTTAGGAACTGTCCCGGCAGGTCCTGTCAAATGCATATATTGGCTCAAATTCTGGAACCCAGAACCTGGATACCAGAAGGGCAACTAAAAGCATTGCCAGCTGCATTCCTAGAGAGGCCTCCAGGACACTGATGATGTCATCTGCTACATTCTGCCACACATTTCCGTTTCGTGGAATCTGGTGATATTCCTCTTAGGTTCTCCTCAGCATAAATGGAGAAATTCTGGTTCTTTCCTGTTCTTCATCCCAGCCCTGAGCCTCCCACGGTCTCTTCTCCTAGAGCCATAGAGAGAACCTAGAGTCCTGAACCCCTGTCCCTCACCAGCATCAGAGAGGTCACGCAGGGAGCTATTGAGGGCACTTCTCTTCAGGCCCTCTCCCATAGTATAGGCATCCTCTAGACTGCTCCGGGTCAGGGTGCCATTCACGGTGTCCTTAGGCCCAGAAGAAGGAGAGGCGTTGGGGCGCATTACTCCTTTCTGTTTTTCAAGTTCCGCTGTGATGGAAGAATAAGACAGAAGCAGACTGGTTATTTACAGATCTTAGGATGATGCCTCAGCCTTGAGTGACAGAGTAACCCCATTTCTGATTTATAATGGCGCAATGCAAAGGCTGCGTTTGGAAATAATAGACAAGTACCATGAATATTTGTGAAATATCATCCCAGATGGAAGGACAATGATTTCTAAACACAGGTAGCTTATGCAATATTCCCACCTCACTTCTAAGCTTTCGAGTACTTGCCCATTTTCAAATACATTCCCTGTAATAACAATCTGGACCACAGCAGTTCCTCACTCACATTCCACACGGTATTTCTCCATCTCTTGCACTTCAGCGATGGACTCCCGCAGGTCACTTGTGAAGCGCAATCGATCCTGCAGACTGGGGGCATTGAAGATGATCAGGACTTTTCGTTCCCCACCGGGGACAGCTGAGAGTAGTTTAATCCCATACTGGTAATCTGGTTGGAAGAAAGTCAGATGCTAGGTGATGATGAGTCCGTGGCAAAGCAAGGATGGCAATCATGAAATGGGCCAAAGTGATGGGTTATTCCTGAGGGTTAGCCCATGAATGAAGAACTGAAGGATATATAACAGCAAGGAACAAAGGCCCTTCAGAAGCTGGCTCACAGCAGGGAAGATAAACATGCCTGACCCAGCTGGACAATTCCAGGCTAGTTTGGGTTGCATTCTCAGCCTGCCTGGAAAGCACAGGGCAAGAAAGGTCTGGGTAGGTAGGGGATCCAATGAATCTGTTGTTGCTGTAGTAGGCACTGAAGGTCCAACAATTCTTTAAAGGGGACTTAAAGGATCAAGATGGGGAGAAGGAGATAGATTATAATAGGAGCAAGTAGTAATGTATCATGGAGTCTGAGCCCATAGAGAGGTGACTATAAGTCCTCCCTGTTGGGAATTTGGGCAGGGACACTCACAGGAATTCTGAAAGAGCTGTAGCTGCATCTCAACAAGTGGGAAGCTCTGGCGGAAACTGTAGGTCACAAGGATCTTCTTCTTCTGGAAAATCTTTGTCACCTAAATGGAGGAGAGAGAACCATGAGTCAACCACCACACTTCATTTCCTAATCTACAGCTCACTGAAAAAATAACGTATACATTTATGTAATACTAAAGATATGAAACGGAATCTCCTTTCATATGGCTGGACGCAATTGACTCTAGCAACTTTTTAAAGAAAGTGCCACATGAGTCAGTCCAGTATTTTCATCTCACATTAGTCATAAACTGTACAAAATGAGTGTCTAATTCATCACAGGTTTGCAGAGCAAACTGGGATGTAGCTGCATGGCGGAAGCTCTCGTTGATATCTCTCTCAGACACAGCCTTGAAATTCTAACTTTTAAATTGCTTTTTAAAAAACAATAATTTTTCAACGCTATGATGGCACTACCAATCAAACGCCTTTCAAATGGGCATGAATTTTTAAAATTTCATTTGTACATCTATCTTTTCTTCTTAAAAGGCCTCTTTCCTTCCCAGTAAGCAGTTTTACCAGAAAGCCCATTTTCATTATTCTAATCCATCAATCTATCTCCAGCATTGAAATACTCTCAGTATTTCCTCTGTGATGTTGGCTCAACTAGGTAGGCAAAAGAGAAAAAGAGATCCAGGATGTGGCAAGCCGGCAAATGGCCCAATTTGATAGAAACAGAGCCTGTCTAGGCCCCTTTGCTTCTCGACAATGCCCATCTTGTTCCAAGCCTTTCATCACCTGGGTTTTTCAAAACTTTTGCATGAGAAGACGGAAACTTTCCCAACTCTATCTCTTCCCAAAGAAGCTGAGTTCCCTCACCCCCCTTGACCTTACCACCAAGAGATCATTGAAGAGGAAGACTTCCCTTTGGTGCAGGCCAAGCCTCTGGGGCCGGTTGGGATCGGGGACCTCATACAGCTGGCAACAGCACACCAGGCGCCTATGGGGCAGAGAGAGAACCTGGTGGGATAGAGAGGAAGAACATGCTGGGAGCAGATCTGGAAAATAAGTGCTTGGGAAAGCTCTCTTTGCAAACCACAGTTGACCATCCCTGAAGACAGCTTCCACTCACCGGCTTTTTGCCCACAATCATGCGCTCAACTGCCTGGACCTGAGAAACGTGATCATCATTGGTGCGCAGTTCTCGGTTCTGTATCCGCTGGTAAATCCCTACCAAGAGGTCACGGGGAATATCCTCCCCATTATCAACCCCTGGCAAAGAAACCAAGAGGGGGAGTCAACAGAGAACAGAAAGGCCACATTTAGTCTGACTAATAATACCGTAACCACACAGCATAATATTGTACGTTTTAGGCCTTGTAGGCCAGTTACAGCCTTATGCTTCAGTGTAATTTAAAAAATGAATTTTTGCAAGAAATTCATTCAGATCTCTGGCAAGATTTTATTTCACAGGTCCCTGGCAGCATATCATTAGGGAGGGAGAGGGGAAAAAAGGGAAGGGGAGCAACAAGTGCCACAAAGAGAAAATGAAAATGAATGACCTATGTAATAAGTGGTGACTTTGTTCTTGCACCATTTATCTCAAACCTGTCCTTTGCCACCACATGGCCCCCCATAGATTGCATACTGACAAAAAAGAATTTTTCACACGGAAAAAAATTGTTCAAAATAAATCCACATATCATTTTCAAAGCCTGCAACAGCCCTAAAAGATAGGCTAGTACAATTCCCATATTGGGAACTGTGAGAATATATACTGCCACCAAACAGCCTACGGTAAAATAATAATAAATAGTTGCTTTGGAATTGCACCCAAGGCGCCTATGACTATTGATTCTTTCTTTGCTTTCTTTGTTCTCTTTCTATTCGCAAGTCTTTGCATTTTGTGATTTTTCTCCCCAGTCCCTTCTCCTAATCTGTCTCCAGCTACTGCCACATCCACTATCTACACTTTTTTGTCTTTCTTATCAACAATTGTTAAGTCTGTGGTGTTATGGGGCAGGTCTGTTTGAAGTCTAAAGTCCCAGAGTATTATAGCTTCTTCATTTTCTATTATTTTCATTATTTTATGGTCCATCAGTTCCTGCTTGCAAGCAAATAGTATTTCTTGCAGATATTCCAGTGCACCATTGCTGCTACTTTCTCATGCTGTTGTTTATAGTCAGTTCTCTGTGTTAAAATTTAAATTTACTGACAAAGAATTAAAGGGAGACTAGTATAGCTATTTCGAACTATTTAGTTCTCATCAGCTAGCCATTTTGAGCTATTTAGCTCTCATACTAGTCTCCCTTTAATTCTTTGTCAATAAATTTAAAATTTAACACAGAGTCTGTCGCAGAATGTGACTGCCTGTGAAGGCTCCTAGATTGGGGCTGAAAGGCGAAAGCGGAAGCAGTATGGCCCATCCCATATTTGGCTAGACCAGGTTGCCCTGATAGATCGATCTCACCGGAAAACACTTCAGTTCTATCTGCTCTTCTTGCAACAGCTAACTCTTGAACATCATTGGCATTGACAAAATCACCATCAGTCAATTGCAAAAGACAGTTTCTCTTGGAATAGCTTACATCCTTTGATGATACCTTTTATACCATCAAACAACATCTGCCTATCTCAGGTCCTTGGGAAGGATTCGATAGGTGGATAAAAGTGCCAAATCCAGTGTAAACATCTGGTTGACCATGCCACCAAACATAACAATCATAATCCTATCCAGTTCAGCCCTGGGCAACATTTGTTCATAATCCAGAAAATTCTAGGTCCTAAACATTCCCCAGAAACATGATCTGGGCAACTTTTTCTATTATGGAAAGAAAACAAAGGTCTGTCAATCGAAGCTGTTCTTCAGTCTGCAATATTCTGCCTGTTATGTTTAATCCAAATTGATCTTCATTAAAGAAGTCCTTTAAAAAGCATTTGATCAAAACAATATCAATTTCTATTTTGAAATAAATAATAACATTGAGTTCAGGTTGTACTTCCTTCCCATTCTAATTGAAACTGGTAGTACCTTTGCTCATGGTAATGAGTTACATATAATCATACAATGTGACAGCTGGAAGGAACCTTATAAATCATCCAGTACTGCTAACCATCCAGCTCTTTAAAAACTTGCAGCAGGACACCACTGTTCCAGATAGAATATTCAGCTGCTTAACATTTCTTACCATTAGGAAATTCCTCCAAATATTCAGCCTAATCTTTTTTTAAAAAATAACAAAAGTCAGTGTTTGTTCTATCTCCAATTTCAACAGAAGGCTAATCTCTTCTATTTTTCACTGGACAGTCTTCTCTTTGGAAGCTAAACATGACTGTAACTGGTTTTTTTCCCATTCCTTAGTTTCCAGAGACCTTATTGTCCTGATAATTCTCCTTGCTTCACCTTCTTCATGTCCTTTTCAAAACACAGTGGCCGGAATTGAACACCATACTCCTAGTGCAGAGTAATCAATGCAAAGCACAAAGGTATGATTACATCCCACAGTCTGGATGCAATGCTGCCTAAGATTGTATCAGTCATTTGAACTGCTGCATCATTGCTGGCTTATACTCAGTTGGGGGTCCAGTAGGACCCTTAGACCTTCTCATATACACTGCCCTCAGGCAGGTTCTCTTCAATCTTGTATCTCTGCATCTGAATTTTCCTACACAGATGAACAACTTTACATTTATCTTCACTGGATAACCATTAGATTTGTTCCAATATTCAAGCCTTTTGAAATATTTTTGAATCACAGTTTTGTTTTTTAAGGTGTTAGCTATTTCCCCTAGCTTGAAGTCATCTGCAAATTTATTATAACAATTTGCTTTTTATATATTTTTATTTTCTTATTTTTTCATAGTCCATTATTGCTGAGTCACCTCTAAAGAAAAAGGAGAGGCAATGTTTAAGATGACACCTTCTTACTATTTTCATACCCAAAGTTTTGAATAGCTTGTATTAAAGTATTGACAAATTATGTCTAGGTATTATAAATTTTGGACCAAAACAAGCAGAAGTCTGGAATGTGCAATCTCTTTCTTGCCACGTAATTAATTTCTTATTATCTTAATCATTTGCAATAATTAATGGCACTGAAGTCATGTCTCCAAAATTGCTGCAAACCTTTTCTTGCATCTCTCTAGCTTCTGAGATTTTACCAAGCTTGCTCACAAACTTGCAAGCATGTATTCTCAGCTTTGAGAACAAGGAAGAAATTGCTGGGTTTAAGGCTCAAGGTTCAAGCCTTCTGAAATAATTTCAAATCATGATTTTCTTCCTTAAGATATTAGCTATTACTCCTCCCCCCAGCTTGATGTCATCTGCAAAAATGATATAACAATTTGCTTATTCTTTACTTTTATTTATTATTTTTTCATAGTCCAGTATTGTTGAGTCATCTCTAGAGAAAAGAGAACTAAAAACTTTCAGAAACTAAATGTTGCATTTACTAGTTCACCATTTTCTGAGCTCCCACAGAATTACACATAAGTAGAGACTGAAAAGAGCAGTGAATGACATATATTCTGCATGGGAATCAAAAGAAAAGGAAAGAAGCAACAGCAGCAAAGATGTTGGGAGTTCCAGAGACTTTTTTTTTAAAAAAAAGAGGATTCTTACTTACCCCGCAGGTTTTTGATGAAGTCATCCAGCTTCATCTTCCTCTCTGCTTTGACACTGGGGCTATACATGTCAGTGTTGAGAAGGATGATGGCAAAAGCTAAGATGAAGATGGTGTCAGGGTTCCGAAACTGGCGCACCAATGGGGCATTGCATACACAGTAGCGCTGGCTGGAAGAAATGGGGTTGAAGTTATAACAAAGAAGCAAACAATTCAGATGGAAACACACTTCTCAGTTCTCATGAACGGTACATTGGGCTCAAGCCATAGCCCACCATTAAAAAATATTGGTCATAGATACTATTTGAATATCTAAATAAACCTTTAGCCATGAATTTGCAGGTAAATATATGGGCATATTAACCTATTTATCGGTTTTAACATATAAAATCCATTTCTGTAATGCTAATCGACTGAAAATTTAGATTATGAATCTTTTGATTAATCTGATTAATACAGCCTTACCAACTGATTCATGTATTAATATATTCAAATATTAATTGGTAATTTGTTAAATTTATATGCCACCCATCTCAGGGAAACTATGAGTGGCTGAAACAATGCTGAAACACCAGTGCCTGGTAAACCATGCAACCATTAGTTAGAAATGAATACTGACTATCTATGAGGTGAAGGAAAATGGAGATTACTAACAACAGACTTGTAACAAATTGTGCTTTTATATCTGCAGCATTTTGATTTAACTTAACCAGGAATTCCAGAGTCACTTCAAAACCTGACTTCATATTTTCCACTGAAGAAGGAAATTCTAGCAATATTTTAAAAAGGGGTAGATTTTGTGAAGGCGTTTCACTAATTGTGAATGCAAGGCAAGTAAGACAAATGAGGAGGGAGGGACTGGTCCATAGAGAGGAAGCTCATATTCTCAAGGCTGCTCCCAGTATTTAGGGGGTTAAGCTCCATTTCTGAACATGCTTTCCCATGTGAACTACACCTCATTATTCTGTCCAATTCTCTTGATCTCTGCTTCTTAAAATAAATTCTCCAGTCCTGCAATTATTTCATAAAAGTGCAGCTGGTGGTAGCAAAAGAAATAAGACATGCTATGGTATTCTTAAAGACTAAGTTCTTCACCTTAAGCCTGACAAATTACTTCACTTATTCAAGATGAATGGCTGGAAATCTTATCACACGCTGGCCTGTGGTGCATTGTCTTTCTCTACAATAGAAAAAAGACTGCTGTTTTTTTTTTAATGTGAGCATCCTTTCAGTGTGAGAGTAGATGGTTTTGTCAGGCTCATACATTCGCATTCTACTCTGATAAATGGACTGAGTGGATGAGACTGATGCCAGTGGACACAGGCAGACAGACAGACATATTAAACACATCACAACATGTTTTATACACTGTGGAAATAAGCCTGCATACCTAGGAGACTTGTCCAATGTTTTATTGTCTCTAAAACCTATGCACAAGAATCAATACACAAATATTCCCTTTCATTATTAGCAAACCAACATCTTCAGCCAGCCTGATATTGGAAAGAACAGATTAGCAGAATATATCAACAGGCTAGCATAAGCTCAACAAGAAATCTACAGGAATGATAGTTGAAGAACAAAATTTGATCCAAGGTATTGGAATTACAACTTCCACTGATATATCCAGCATCATGAATGTTTGCTAAGAAGGACAAAGGACACAAATGACTAAACATACATGATGATATTATGCAAACAATATAAATTAGGGAGTTGCATCAGACATTGGGACACAAGAACATACTGCAATCATAGCATTTACATCAGGGGTTCCCAACCCCTGGGGGTGCTTGACAATATTCCAGGGGGTATGAAAACATGGCTTTTCAAAATTATAGTGTATATGCATAATTTGTTGCTGTTGTTTTGATCTTTTGTAAGGGGTGCAATAATATATCAGAAGCGTTCTAGGGGTGCGGGGTATAGAAAAGGTTGGGAGTCACTGATTTACATGATGCCACCATCACACGTGCTAACTTGAGGATATGATTTGCTGCAGAAGCTGCTGTCAAACATGGTCATAGACAATAAAGTTCACAGGGATTTTTGGACAAAGCCATACATTTCTATTGCCTGTGGTCTGTTTTCTAGACTAATCTCTCCTCTCATACTTCCAAATGCTAAAGGAAACTGTGGAAAGATGGTTCCACCTTCAACATACCTGAAGGCCTCAATGAGACGCTCCACCTTCTGGGCCTCACCTTGCACCCGAATGTGTGACTGGAACTTTCTCAGGGCATCATCCAGGTCCATGCTGGAGAAGTCCATCTCATCTACAACACAGCTATGAAGCAGAAAAATACAGGGAAGGAAAAGAGACAGATTAGTTCAGTATGAATAAGGTTGAGCACCAGGAGACCATGAGCTGTTATCCCACCTTAGACACAAAATGAGTTGAGTGACCTTGAGCTAGTCATTCTCTCAGCCCTAGGAAGGAGGCAATGCACATCACTTCCAAAAAACCCTGCCAAGAAAACTGTAGGGACTTGTCCAGGTAGTCACCAGGTGTCTACAATGATTTGAAGGCGTGCACGCACAGACACGCGCACACACAAACACAAACATATGAGGATATTCCTTCCTCTGTCCATCTTCATTTCCAAGTCCGTATACTTCCTTTAAAATGCTCATATAAACAGTAAGGCTTAATTTGAAGAAACTCTTAGAAATCCCTTCACAATTTTTAAGAGCAGTTTGTAGGATAAGAAAGAAAATAATGGATCACTTTATTTAACTATTTCTCTCAGCACAAAATGCACTACATCCCAAATTAGTAGCTGATTCTTCTAGAGACCATTCAGAAAGAGAAACTCTGCAAGCATGATTACTTCTTTGATGATGTTTAAATTGTTGCTTTCTTGTAAAATTTGTTCATTTCTCTCTTCCAACAGACATCTTTTAAAAATATCTAAGAATAAGTAATATGTCTTCTTTTCTAAAGGCCAAATGTTTTATATAATCTAAAGTCATTCTCTACAAAAGCTCTCTTGTCTTCAATAGCATGAAAACAGCAAGTTAATATTAAAAACAAGCAAGGCTTACATAAGGCTTAGGGTCCGGGTGGACTGCACGAAACAAAATTGTGACAATGGGAAGGAAAAATGTGTAGATCTCCTTACTCAAGTACATCTCGGTTGAACTGCTTCTGCCGGTTGCCAAGAAATTCTCCAATCATCTGCCGGCTCAGCCCCTTCCGCTCCAGGATAAACCGGGCCACGCCCACCGGCGTATCTGACAAGAAGCCTCTCTCAATTAAATACTGGATCCCCTTTTCTGGTTTCCTGCCAGTGGGATGAGAAGAATTCATGTATTCATGCTTGCCTGAAGTTGCTTTTGTCCCAAACCCATTTTCCTTCCATCTCTTTTATTAGAGAAGAAACACTGACCCTTTTCCAAATAAGCTTCTGTTTCCAAAAAAAACACTATAACTTTGTCTCTACTGTATATTAAAATTCTAGATATTCATTATGAAAGTATCCTGAATGCCCAGCCTGATATAGTTTTGTATCATTTATCTGGGAGAATAAGAAAGCTAGTGAAAGCGCCCTTAGTTATGGAATGTTAGTTATATTTATTGCAGTTTGCTAAACATTATAGAGAGTTAATGAGTTTTCGTTCATTTTGATCCCTTCCCTGAATTCCATCGGTCACATTACCAGGTCCAAGACTGAATTAGATTTATAATAATAATAATAAAGTTGGAAGGGACCTTGGAGGTCATCGAGTCCAACCCCCTGCTCAGGCAGGAAACCCTACACCATTTCGGACAAATGGCTGTCCAGTCTCTTCTTAAAAACTTCCAGTGTTGGAGCATTCACCGCTTCTGGAGGTAGGTTGTTCCATTGGTTAATTGTTCTGTCAGGAAGTTTCTCCTTAGTTCTAGCTTGCTTCTCTCCTTGAACTAAGGAGATTATGAAATGAGATTATGCAGAACCAGAGATTCCTCCTTTAAAGCAGCAACAGAAAGCCCCACCAAGTTGACATATGAGGTTTCATTGCCATAGTTGGCAACAGATTGATGAGCCTTCAGGTGTGCTTACTTACACATGGTATAAGAAAGAGCTGGGGAGAAGATGTAGGTGAGGTGGGAATTAAGCCATCCCATTTACACCTACTGCCTTCCAGATGCTGCTGCTAACCAGAGGGCTGGAGAAGATGGGATCTAAAATCCAGAATCTATGAAAGTCACGAAGTAGCCTCCACTGACTTGGGTCAAAGAGAAGAGTATTAATATTTCAAATAAATGGACTGTTCAGATGGCTTGCTAGATAGACTAATGATATTTTTTTAGTATAATTAATGATATCACTTGAGAAAGTAGGGGCATTCTTTAAACCCCCATTTCCACTTGGGGTGAGAGATTGGTTTTCTAAAGCAGGGGTCTTCAAACTTGGCCCTTTTATGACTTGTGGACTTCAACTCCCAGAATTCCTCAGCCAGGCACACTGGCTGAGGAATTCTGGGAGTTGAAGTCCACAAATCATAAAAGGGCCAAGCTTTAAGACCCCTGTTCTAAAGCCTTAAATAATAAGGAAGGAAAGATTGTAAGGCTGAACATTGCCATTTGCCACTGAATATTCACAGTATGATCCTATAGAAAAGGGAGGGAGGCTTGGAAAAAATGGAATGGGGGGCAAGTTGTTCAGCCATGCTTGTGATCTGATATCTCGAAGCCTCAGTAACTTAGCTGATAAGGAGCAGTGAAGCCCTCAGGAGGCAGAAATATTCAACATCTTTTTAAAGTCTGTTCTTCCGGAAGTCTATTCTACCACCAACCAAGCTCCCTTACAGCCACAAGATGTCAGCATCACCCTTTTCATTCTCTGTTTCTCCAAAACACATGCTTGAGATTTTTGAAAAGAGGTCAGTGGTTGGGGAGGGGGGCAGGGGCAGACAAGGAATTTCTGTATCCACAAGAAATTAAGTGGAGAGCAGTCAAGCGCCACCAAGCCATACCTTACCAGATTCTTTTTTTTTGATTGCCCAGAATGTAATATTTTAAGGGACAAGTATGAGGCATTAAATTAAAGGTGCTCCAGGGATTGCATGTCCCACTTGGTACTGTTAAAACCCTAGAACTCCAAAACAGAGAACATAATTCTCTGAGCTGAGAAGAGATAAGCAACAGGAGGCAGTGAGCTTAGACTTGTGGGCATGAGCAGCTTTTGCTCACGATTACAGGTTTTAGAGCAGAGAACCTCACAGACCATTGTCCGCATCTATTAATCTGTGTATAAGTCTCGGGGAGGTTTAGATTTCCTGCCTTTGGTACCAAAAGGCCCTATCATGGACCAGACTAATTCCTCAATTTGCCAGATTGAAGGATGCACACAGAAATAAATGCTCAAGGATCGCCTCCAGGAGGAAGGGCACAGAGATTTCCTACCCTGGCACATTGCCCCAGGCTTCAATGTGAGTCATGATTCCAGCTGGTTAATGTGATGTGACGGGCGGGCTTCCCAGCCCCCAAGAGCCTGCTTCCTGCCAGTGAAAAAGATGCTGTCTGGCTCAGTAGCAATTAAAGCTCTAAGGACCAGAGGTAGCTAAAACCTAAGCCTTCCACCATCTCTTTTACTTTGACCTAAAGACCTGATAGACACCGTAGGAAGCAGCCGCCCAAATGGAATTGCTGGGGAAAAGCCAAGTCAAAGCAAAAGGGGCACAGAAAGGTATTAGGGGAGGTCTTCACCTTCAGACTGGCAATGGTCCTGTCCTTTAAAAAGATGAAACTCTCCCCTTATCATTTATCTCACACCATCAGGCTGGGAAAAAATTCACTTGCTTAAGTTTGGTATAGCAAAGCCCATGTTGTTGTTGTTTTTTTAAGGTAGCAAAAGGTAGCAGTAGAAATAGGTAAAGAGGAGGAAACGCTATATATTTAGGATTAAAATCTCATGTTTCAAAATTTGGGGACGAGAGAAGCTAATTCAAAACCATTCTGAGAAGGAAAGGGAATCAGATTTTTAGAAACCAGAATTGCTGAAATAACCATCCTTCAGGTTGTCTACTGTGTGTCTCTAGGAAAACCTTCAGAAATAGAAGGCTGCATGTGTGAAGATTAAGAATTGTTGCCCAACATATACTGTGGGTACCCATGTTTTTAAAACTCCATAAAATATCCAATTTTTTACCAGCAGAAATCCTTCTATAACGTGACCTGTTTATTTCTTGTAGACCACATTTCATTCAGAAGATGCCCAAACCATTAAATTCTGCTCTTTGTGTGTTATTCTTATACTCCATTGGTGATCCAGACTATACAAAGAAAAGATTCTTCCTGTACTGCCTATCTTTTGGAGAGCAATTTGGAAGTTACAATAGGCAGAAGGACCTCCAAAGAGAAGGCCACAGCAGTTCTGTAAGACAGTTGGACATGGGGATATAACCAATGCATCCTTGGTGATAAAGACTGGGCTTGCACCAAATCCAAATTCAAGTCTCCCCTTGACCCCTGAGCTCACTGGCCAGCCATTCTTTTTCATTCCAATCTAACTCACAGGAGATGAAATTAGCCATATGTACAGCATGTCACTTGGAGCCCTCTGAGAAAAGATGATAGATGTAAATAGCAAAAAAACAAAAGTGAAAACAAAACACTCAAAGCTGACATAGCACCTCTGTCGTCAAGTCAAAGAGCTACTCAAAATCATCCCCACCACCCCACCCATGCTAAATCCAGCTGGATCTCTGATGCCTGTAAAGCCAGACCAGCTCTGGAGCCTAACACAGCCTTCTGCTGAACATGTTTAAACTACTGTTTCCCTCATAGCGCTCTGCCCACACCAGTCATACTTGTTGAAAAGGTTGAGGCCGATTCGGTACTGGCGGCGCTGCACCACGTCATTGTTGAAGGCAGGAGAGTCCCAGCTATGCCGCGTCTCACGCTGGTAGGTCTGCTTGCAGGGCCCCCCAACAGTTGTGGTGGTGGTTGGGGCAGGTGGCGGCGGGTCACGCAGGCTGTCCCGTGAGGAGGATCCTGAGCTGCAGTTGATGGTCTCATTGGAGTTGGTGGTGCTGTTGAGGCTGTCGTTGTCGCCATCTGAGTTGTCCGGCGGAGGAGGCGGAGGCAGGCGGCCGGGGGCCTGAGGGGGTGGGATGGGCAAAGGTGGAGGAGGCTGGCTTTGCTCGGGATGATAATGGCGGTGTGGGTGTGGGGAGCGGGCAGGCCCGCCAGGATGTTTGAGAGTGCCATGGGGGCTGCAGCCATCTTGCTCATAGATGAGCCCCCGATTGAGTGAACCCCGATCAGAACGGTCGCTCAGATCCACTGAGCTGTCACTGGGAGGCTCAATTGTGAGCAAGGGCAGGTGAGCGCCCCGAAGGCGGTAGTCCCGGCATTCCATGCAAGGTGTGCTGCGCCGGCTCCCGCCCCCATTCTCCCGGCTGTCCTCCCGCTGGGGCACCCCCCAGTACTCCGGCCGTGGGGGTGGTGGGAGGGGCACTCCCGGAGCAGGCTCTGGGGGCTCAGTGCTGGGGGGGCGCTCCAGAGAGAGGGGTGACGTGGGAGCGCCTTCGTCCAGATAGAGTGTGACATCACTGAATGAAGTGGCAGCACTGTCACCCTGCTGCTCCTTGGATTCACTTTTTTCCAAAGTGGGGCCACCAGGTACTCCCTCCTGGCCAAGTGGGTGGCAGTTTAAGGCTTCATCAATCGATTCTGCCAAGGACTTCACCTATGGAGAGGCAGAAAAGGAGGTCAGCCAGGGCAGTTTCTCTTTGGCACTGTAATGGTGCGGGAGACTGGAGGAAGAGCCACAGACTGGACAACAGTCAGATAAGATGCAGCTGAGTTTGCAGAAGGAATGGGGACATAGCAAATGTCTCAGAAGGGAGCCTCCCTAATTTCTCTGACTGTAAAAAAGAGGAGGGATGGATGTGCTTTCAGATTTGCAAGATTCTATTAATGTAACCTTATCCTAAGGATAGATCTAATACTTTGGGGTGTGCTTCTTAACTGGACTACCTCGCAAGGCTGACAGGGGCTCAGTACGTATTGTGAGAAAGAAGGGGGGGGAACAATCCTCTACTAATTAAATCAATCCTGTACCTTATTTTAATTAATGAACTCCCATTTAAATAATCTTTTATGAAACATATGGTACTGCAACAGTGAGAAGACAAGTAAGTTACCAATGCAGAATGCAGAATTGTTATAGTATCAAGCTCATTATAGTATTGATGTATTGAAATGAAATCTGTGAACACAAGTGATCCAAAGCATGATTTATAGGCAAGATGCAGTTAATAGTTTTATTCACACTAAGTTCCTTCAGTACTGCTGTGATATTGTTTTTCTTCCATTAACTGGGAAAAAATCAAAATAGGATTCCATACAAGGTTTTCATACAATCTCTCCTATTTGCAAGGACTTTGTTTGACATTTCCTTCAGTGCTATTGGGGGGGGGGAGTCATCTGCAGTGCAATGTCTGTTCGTGCTGTTGCTTTCCATGAGTAAGTCTGGAACACAGAATGGCAACCCAAGAGAAAGAAGCTAATGTGAACCCCTTTAAGTTTCATTACTATCGGCTGCAAGATTCAGCATAATACGATGAAGTGAGAATGGAAATATTTTCCATTCAAATATTCAAAAACACAAAAGACACCTATGAATTTACCTGAACTTACTTATTTGGTACACAGTATTTCAGGCTTCCGAACAGTCTACGACTTGGAGTGAGTAGAGATTGCTTCCAGATCAGTAGGTACCATAAAGTACGGTAGTTGTTATACATTATATGAGAAGTCATTTTGAGGGAGAAGTATTAGGCCCCATTATCATCTCTTCGTTGTCGTGTCAGAAAAATTGTCCATCTTGTTACTCATTTGCCAAGGCTAAAGATCAGTGCTTTTTAAATGAGACTCAAGAGGCTGTTTTCTGTGCCAAGGAATCCCTGGATGCAAAACTCAGACAACCCCTAGATATAACTCTTCCCTGCCATTTAATGGTCATCCGGGTTTTTGCAACCCAAACATGGTACAAAAAGCTTTGGGAGGTTCTAATCCTGGGCAGAACACATAGAGGTTCTAACATGGTGAAACAGCAGAAACTAACATAAATGGTAATAAAAGGAACTCGGATTATTAACCGGTCTATAAACATAACTTTAATAACACTAAAGTATGTTAATTATTTGATGCTGAACTTGATTGGTTATCCCTGTACTTTTGCATTCCACAACAGAAATACGGCATTAATTCTCTGAGGAGTATCTACTGTGTATGAATTAGTTGCGGTTCCTAGGAAGAGTCAGTAAAATAGAATTTCGGAGTAGAAGTGAAATTCCAACGAGGGATTTGCTAAGTCATGACCCATTTTTTATAGCTTGTCTCTGTATATACAAAACAATTATTCTTGCTGCTAATAAGAGGGTGAAACAATCATAAGAATTATGATTGTAACATATTCAAAACCAACAAACCAGTGAGCCTTGGCGTTGTACTCATTAGTTTTCCAACATTTTTTTCCATTTTTTTTTCTGAAAGAGGCTTACAAAGTAAAAACCACTACAACTGAAAACTCAAGTAATATCAAGGCAAAAATCAAGAAATGTTTCAGCTTCCAATGCAATCCCAAATGGGATTATCTTTTCTAAAACAGCTCATCCTGATTAGGGGCAGAAGATTTGTGAGGACACAAGGTTCCCTTTGCTTGCCCTGTGGGGTTATAAACAAATGAATTCTTGCTGCTTTGCCTGGGGGGGGGAAGATGTGGGTGAAGTGGAGGTGCAAAAACAAATGAAAACAACAGCTTTGCCAGCTTCAACTGAGCCTACTTTGAAGTGGAAACATGGACCATGATGAAATAGAGCAGTTTTGCCCATCCTCTGCCTCTCTTCTATGTAGATTAAAGAGCCTAGATGCAGCATAAGGAAAAGGCCCTTCAGGCCAAACATGAGACCCACAGGCTGGGGGTCCCCTTCTATGCATTGGCTTAGTTCAGGGGGCAGCAGAAGATACTTTGATAGCAGAGAAACAATGAGGTTTTGGGAAGGTCTGAAGAAGCATCAATCAAGCTGGAGAAGACAAAAAGGTCTCATTTGGGCAAAGAATTTTAGAGTTTCAGGGAAAACTACCTGCTTGGAGAAGGAATCCTCCAGCTCCGTGATGTCATTGCAGAAGCCTCCAGAAGAGGAATGCAGGGAGGCACCGTCCAAGCCAGCCCGGCAGGAGCCACCGTAGGGAAGGCCATGATCCAGCAGGTGAGGTCGAGCAGTAGCCATGGAGCCCTCATCCAGAGAGGCAGGTTTGCCTTCAAAGTAAGGGGCATTCTGGGCCTTGTCATATTCCTCAAACGAATATTGCATCCGCATGTTGGACAGGATGATGCGCCGTGACATACGGCTCTCTGATGCCGAACTTCTTAGACGCTCAAACTTTTTGTTCATGCGGTACTGGCGAAAGGCTGTTTGAATTGTACGAGCTGCCCGCCGGCTCAAGAAATAGCCCCCATACTTCCGCTCCAGCATCTCCACCTATGATGGGTATCAATAGGCAGAAAGGATTCGGAAAAGACAAGAGGGAGATGAGTGAGGAGAATAGGAAAATCGGAACATGAAGCTAAGAACAAGCCAAACAGCCAAAAAAGCTGGGATCTGAGCAAGATATCACGCTGGGTTTTCTCAGAGCAAAAGGAGCCACAAGATATTGTCAATTGCCTCCAAAGAAATACATGAAGCAAGCTCAATCCGAAGCAGCCTATTGGTGTAGGGATGGCTCTTGAGTATTATGTCTTCAGGTCCTCAGGCACAGGCTTTCCCTCACTTGTTTTTTAACTGGAGGTGCTGGGGATTGACCTACAGCAATGTTTCTCAACCTTGGCAACTATTATATATTATGATGCATAATATTATACGTTAATACTAGAGCATGTGCTTTGCACATGGAAGGTTTGTAGGTCAGTGCTTCTCAGCCTTGGCAACTTTAAGCTGCCTGGACTTCAACTTGTTGGCTGGGGAATTCTGGGAGTTGAAGTCCAGACATTTTGAAGTTGCCAAAGTTGAAAAACATTGACCTACAAAACTCTTCATGTGCAAAGCATATGCTCTAGTATTAAGCACTCTTTCTTAGGGTTTCTGCCTTTGTCTGCCCTTCCAATTTACAGATATTGGATCTTTATTCTTTTAAAGGGCTTTTGTGGGACCATGTTTTCCTATTTCATAGATAGTTCCCACACTGACTCAATCTACAAAATCCTTTACTGCAGCCTTCAGACAACTCCCAAAATGCCCCACATTAATGCTGACTCACTGGACTTCAAGCAAGCCACAGGATCTTATTCCTGCACATCAGGAACCCCAGAAGCAAAGCTCAGCACAATCTATGACCAGATACCTTTTTGTCCTGAAGATCCGTTGAGAGCTCATAGCTGTCTGATAGTGCTGATCGTTTGCTATCCTCCTCTTCCTGCTTCCTCAACGCCACGCTGGCTGGCTGTAGCCGAGCTCGCTGGGCCCACGGAAGACCTGGTGACGGAGCATGACAGACAGAAGAGGAGGAAGATGGCACTAAATCATAGTGCTCAACCTTGGTCACCTCAGGGATACATCGGTACGGCTGACTGCCCACACTGTCCACTATAGTTCCTGTTTCGCTTCCTGGAGGGTCTCCTTCCACACTGCAAGAAAGAGAAAAAAGGCTACATGAATCTGGATGAACAAAGGTTTTTTAAAAAAATCACAGAGATCAAGACTGTACCAACACCGTTTTGAACTCAGAACACTCCTCATAATGCTTGAAACCAGCCATTTTGCACTTGCAAGCAGTCACTTTCTTCTCAGAATGGCGGCTCTGTGGAACATTTTGCACTCCCTTAGCAGCAACCCACCAATACTGTATTTTTGTACTATTTACTGTACCTTTCTCTCACATTATAGACTGGCCAATTCAGCCATGGAGAACTACAATTAATCTGTTGCACAAATTCTTTCATTGAACGAATCTCACAAGTCCCTATACAGATAGTCCTTACTTACTGACTGCCTTCTTCGCCGACTGTTCAAAGTTATGACGGCGCTGAAAAAGTAGGCTTACAATCAGTCTCGAAAATTGCAGCATTCCAGCAATCATGTGATTGTGGTCTGGCTGCTTTGCAATTGGAATATATTTATGATCACTGCAGTGTCTTTTGGGTCATTAAGCACAACATCCTATGATCACTATTTGTGACTTTCACTGCCAGGTTCCGACAAGAAAAGTCAGTGGGGAAGCCAGCAGAAAGTCGCAAGTTATGGTCATATGATGTTGTGCTTAACGATATGTGGTGCTTCAGTTAATGATCACAGCAGAACAGATGTTCTAAGTCCAGCGTGGTCACATGTTTCACTTAGCAACTGTATTGCTTAGCAATGCATCTGTCAGTCCCAATTGTGATCAGTAAGTGAGGACTGCCTGTAATCAGAATAATTCTGGATTAACTTTTCCCAGCAACATTTTGTTCTCATTTTGTTCTCTAAGAAATAGACCCTGAAGCTTCTATTAGCATGTATTTCCTGAATGTAGAACAGGAGATGGAGGTGGGGGAGGCTGATAGATCAGAGGAATAATATGAAGATAAGGGTTAAACCTTGATCTAATCTAACCTAGTGGACAATCATTTAAATATGAGCCAGCAGTGTGCTGCAGCTGTCAAAAAAGCCAACACAGTGCTAGGCTGCATTAACAGAGGGATAGAATCAAGATCACGTAAAGTATTAATACCACTTTACAATGCCTTGGTAAGGCCACACTTGGAATACTGCATCCAGTTTTGGTCACCATGATGTAAAAAAGATGTTGAGACTCTAGAAAGAGTACAGAGAAGAGCAACAAAGATGATTAGGGGACTGGAGGCTAAAACATATAAAGAACGGTTGCTGGAATTGGGTATGTCTAGTTTAATGAAGAGAAGGACGAGGGGGGACATGATAGCAGTGTTCCAATATCTCAGGGGCTGCCACAAAGAAGAGGGAGTCAAGCTATTTTCCAAAGCGCCTGAAGGCAGGACGAGAAGCAACGGGTGGAAACTGATCAAGGAGAGAAGCAACTTAGAACTAAGGAGAAACTTCCTGACAGTTAGAACAATTAACCAGTGGAACAACCTGCCTCCAGAAGCTGTGAATGCTCCAACACTGGAAGTTTTTAAGAAGAAACTGGACAGCCATTTGTCCAAAATGGTATAGGGTTACCTGCCTGAGCAGGGGGTTGGACTTGATGACCTCCAAGATCCCTTCCAACTTTATTATTATTATTATTACTATTACTATTACTATTATTATTATTCCACTCCAACTGTTTTGCCTTTGTTTTTCTTTTTTTAGGAGAAGCAATTCTTTGTGCTCTGTAAAACCCCTACTGGAATAGGTCACCTATACTTGTGAAAATCCAGAGGATGTTCCTTGTTTCTTTCAGCCCATACCAGCTTGCCTGGGTTCTTCCAGGAGGACATTTCTGTCATCTTTCCATCAGAATGGAACTTTTGTAAAATAGAAAATTTCAGGAGAGTTGCAAGTGGATGACAATATAGCTGACCAAAGACAAAAGGAATTCTATCCAACACATGCACATCAGCTGTCTGCATCAAATAACATATGCAGCAACATCACACTGCAAACTCTGCTCCTTTTGTAGTGTGCCATGACATCACATACATATACATTGAGAAGCGGAACTTATAGTGAGGGAAAAAAGTATTTGATCCCCTGCTGATTTTGTACATTTGCCCACTGACAAAGAAATGATCAGTCTATAATTTTAATGGTAGGTTTATTTTAACAGTGAGAGGCAGAATAACAACAACAAAAAATCCAGAAAAATGCGTTTCAAAAAAGTTATAAATTGATTTGAATTTTAATGAGTGAAATAAGTATTTGATCCCCTATCAATCAGCACGATTTCTGGCTCCCAGGTGTCTTTTATACAGGTAACAAGCTGAGATTAGGAGCACTCTCTTAAAGGGAACCTCCTTCTTTCAGCCAGGGCATTGAAAATGGGTCATGGGTGGGTATTCTGTCATGGCAATAACCCAAAACACACAGCCAAGGCAACAAAAGAGTGACTCAAGAAGAAGCACATTAAGGTCCTGGAGTGGCCTAGCTAGTCTCCAGACCTTAATCCCATAGAAAATCTGTGGAGGGAGCTGAAGGTTCAAGCTGCCAAATGTCAGCCTCGAAACCTTAATGACTTGGAGAGGATCTGCCAAGAGGAGTGGGACAAAATCCCTCCTGAGATGTGTGCAAACCTGATGGCCAACTACAAGAAACATCTGACCTCTATGATTGCCAACAAGGTTTTTGCCACCAAGTACTAAGTCATGTTTCGCGAAGGGGTCAAATACTTATTTCACTCATTAAAATGCAAATCAATTTATAACTTTTTTGAAATGCATTTTTCTGGATTTTTTTGTGTTATTCTGTCTCTCACCGTTAAAATAAACTTACCATTAAAATTATAGACTATAATTTCTTTGTCAGTGGGCAAATATACAAAATCAGCAGGGATCAAATATTTTTTCCCCTCACTGCATGAATCATGAAGAACAATTTCATCATTTTGACGCAAACTCTGGATTCATCTGGATATCTCGGAATGCACCAAGAGGGAACCAGGTTGGAGAAGGCTGCTCCGTTCAACTATTGCATCATAACTTTGACTTAAACAAGTCCAGACTCCCCTGAACAGAGGCATTCTTAAGCACAATAAGCATGCATGTTGTACACATCTGTTTTAGATAACAGTATCGGGTCTAATAAAATCAAATATACATTTCTAAAACTTCAGCACAGCTTAAAATTCACAAAGACAAACAAAACTCACTTGGCATGTTTGTAAATAAAATACTTACATTGGTGCCAAGGGAACTCTGGGCAAGATGGTTGCCAGGGACAACCAGTTATCTGGCAAGGGATGAATTCTGACAGGATGTGAATGTGAAATGTGGGGTTTCCTGCATGCAGGGGTCCAGACAGACCTAGACATGGCACTGGGTATTTGCCAACAGCCTCATTTGCTAGTCTCTGGGAAACTCTCAAAAGCAAATGACTGAGACTGAGCTTTTACTGCCATAGAAAACTGATAGATCACAAGTTATTAAGGCCTGCTTCAGGTTTACCAAACCAGGAAGAAATACTCACTCCGTTGGGCAGGAGAAATGTACACTAGAATCATGCCCATCCCTCACTGTAACTTCCCCCACCACCCAAATGTGTTCTCTCATCATCATCATCATCCCTAAGGAATGCAACTCCCAGTAGGAAAAATGTTCCTTAACATCCCTAACAGTCACATATGCAAGATGGGCAGCTGTACAAACTGAATAAACAAATATATCCTAGAAAATTACAGTGTTGGCTGTGCCCCACAGGGGGTAGATTAGTGGTGGCCAAATAATCTTTTTTTTTTGTATTTTTATTAGACGTTACATTTATTAACAACCATAAAAAAGAAAGGATAAAAGTGTTATTGTCAGAACAAATTGGATAAATAGGTCAAAGGACTGATCCAGTAAAATATAGATAAAAAGGAATAAAAGGAATTTTAAAATGTTGTGGAGGTTACAGTTTTCCAGTACATCATAAATTAGCTGTAAATAACTGATCATATTAAATCACATTCACATTCTAAGATAAAAATTAATGCCAATAATCATGATCAATGCAGTATAACTTACCAAGTAAATTATAAGCTATAATAAAATTCAATCCATATTACTAAGAGTCTGTTCTGATTTAAATAAACTTGTAAAACTGAATTATATAGGCCATGTACATAGAGAAATGTACATTTTGGATGTGGCGCAATTCCCTAAATTAAATTGTAGTTTAGGAATGGTTTCCAGTTGAGTTGAATTCCATGTCAGATTTACAAAGTTATTATAGACATCAAAGCTTACTCCCACAGCTTGGTTAGCCATTTTTCCACAGAGGGTATCAAATATCCTTTTCAGTAAAAAGCTTATAATATCCTTGTTATAGTTAGCATTTACAGAGATAATTCAGTAAAATTACTTTGAAAGAATATATGTTTAGTCAGAATATTGAAAGTTGAAATGGAAATTGAACTTTGTCTTTTATGCTCTTCCCACCTCCTTGAATGGCCAAAGGCCAAAGGCTGTTCTTCATTCCAACTGATGCAGTGGTGGGATTCAGCTGGTTCGCACCACTTCGGCAGAACCAGTAGCTAATTTTTTGTTGCCCAGGCCCAGAATGGACTTCCGAAACCAGCATCCATACAGAGAACCGGTTGTTCACATATTTGAATCCCACCACTGAACTGATGCACAATAAAAGGAGTGTAAGCAATTCTACTTTGCCATGAAACTTACACCTGCCGAAATCCCCAATTCTTCATAACAATTATACAGCCAGTGAAGAATCCCTATCTTTTCTTTTCCCTTTTGCACATTCATTCTACTTCTAAAAGCTCTTGAAAAGCTGAGTTCTTCTGCTTAAAAGTATAGTACTGGCACTTTATCCTCATTGGACTAAAGTGCTTTTTCTACTTTTAGCCCAACAATACCTTGGTTCTCCTATGCAGAAGTTTCAGACAATATATGAGAGTGTAGATTCTTCTCAGATTGAGATGATGGCCTGTAGAGGGCCCTGGACAGGAGACATTGTTGGGGTAGATTCAGCCAACTCG